ATCTTGGCAAAAAATGTTCAATACCAGATTTTTTCTGGAATCAGTTTAAGTTTATATGTGTGACAAATTGGTAAGATGTGAATTGAACCAATGCTGCTAGAAATATCTTAAATTTTTATATCAGCAACGTATATGCTCATATGTCGACATTATTAACCAGAATGAATTTAGTCAATACAGTTTTCGAAATAGAAGCTAATTAAAAGTTGTATCTAAGTCATGACGTCACTTTTCAACTATTTTTCTGTGATGGAACACGAGGTCTATTATAGTAACGGTGCTATTATGCATTTTTTCCCTGCGTTTTTTGTCTAACAGTTTTTTTCGGTATAAATGTAGTCTCTTGAACTGCGACTATACATTGAAACAAGTAAATATTATGAACAGGATACCGTATACAAGCTCTACAGCAAAACATTCACAACAGAAACAGAACCATTCCTAAATATTAGGCCACAAATGTATATCGATAAAGTGCTTTCATGGCCATAAATAATTTGATATCGATATCAAATCTTGCTCTTTCTAATACTTAAGAACAGACAGTAATTTTCAAAGAACAGACAGGAAACCTACAGCGGCTTAAGTAACAGTAATTAGGCTTAATAGACAGTAAGTGGGAATTCAAGTATCATTTGGAACTTTATATAGCCCAGTAACCAAAATCAATGACCCCGTGTCAACATGAACAGCGCTTTATGTTTATTTGTACTAATATGTCTTTAAAACTCTATTGATTACAGAGGTCGATGTATTTGGAGGAAATTATAGGTTACATTTGTTACAATTCAATACCACTTAGGATTTTGGTCGATTCTACTTGTAATTAATACTTACAAGAAATAGTAACATGCCTGCCAATAAAAATGTATAAAGTGTGTTTCATTTGGGGACATCCGCATCAGTAAATGTTGTCAAGTGGTACAAATTTCAACTTAGGTTTTTCCCCATTTTAAGAGTGGATTTAATTTAAGAATCAATTAACTAAATATCTTCAACTCGACTTGTTGTTATCTAATAGTCCAATCAATTGAGTTTAGAATACAGATAATTCAAAATCCCCCACACAGTTGAAGCTATCAAACATAATCCTCAAATTAACTTGCTATCATACTTTAAAACATCTTTATCTATTGGTAATAAGACTCTATAAATAGTCACCTTTACTCGAAATACGCGATGTTCTTTTCTAAATTGCAGTATAAGCCCAATACACATTTAACAAGAATAAGATATTCTATAGGAGCAATCAAAAATCGTAAATCAAAGAGAACACTAAAGAAGAAGGACTAAAAAGACAAACTAATCCAAGTCAACAGATCAAGGTAAACTTACTTTGTAGTTAATTCATGTTTAGACTATTATCAATAAACTCATCGTTGATACCAGGATTAAACGTTTGTACACCAGACGCGCGTTTCGGCTACAAAAGACTCATCGGTGACGCTCTAATCAAAAAAGTAAAAAACGCCAAATAAAGTACGAAGTTGAAGAGCATTGAAAGATTCAGCTTTGATTCTGCGTTGGTTTTCCAAAGAAGAATACAGTGAAGCATTCGTCATTTTTCATGTGTGTTTTTTTTTTTTTTTTTTTTTTTTTACTTTTTACCTGTGCATAGGTCTTCGATTGAACTGTTTGCCAGTAATTTACCATGATGGTTAAATAATCACAAGAAAAATAAAATGAAGAAACTAAAGTTCACTTCTTAAGTATGATGATAATTTATGAATATGACAACATCTCACTAGGTAAGCTCATTCAAACCCAGTTTCCTCGAATCAGAGAAATTCAAAATCTCAGTGATTCTTATAGTTTCTATAATAATTACATAATGAGGGTTCAACGAGAGATTTTGACTCGCAGCCAACAAAAAATGAAACACTGTACAATCAGAAACTTCCGTTTGTTTTAAGCTTGTTAACTAAAAAAATTATGATTAAAACCCATTTTACAGAGATAACATGCAATCAGATATGAAATCGTTATAATTCTGTTTTCGTATGCAAGTTTCAAAACATACAGAAGAAGAAAAACTACTTGTATTGTAAATAAGCAGCTTGATGTTTATGGCTCGGATTTATCCTGGATATAAATGAAATGAGATGCTGAGTATACTTCAATCAAATGTCATCTAAAAGACATAAATAACGAAAGCATTTGAGCGTGCTATTTAAACATTGAAGCGCTAAAAGTCACCTTATGGCCATACATTTTTGTACACTAGTGTTGTCAGATTTCTGCCTCTTTAACGTTTCCCATTTAACATCTCTTTTTATATTTTATGTTTTTCCCTATACATTTGTACTCTTATATGCATGGTTAACGCGTGCTGTAATGTAAACAAAAGACTGATTTGTTCATACATCAGTACTGAAAATACATGTGTTAACCTCCACATTTTCTGTGTATATTCATGATTTTGCTGTTTACGTGCACGTTATGGATTCGATCTTTCCGTACAGCAACCCTTTAATCGATCAATAAAACAATAATAATACAAAAAGAATTTTTAAATTTGAAGTGACGTTCGAAGTCAAACAGATATTTTAAGCTTTCTTGGTATAATGTTCAACTTTTGACCAGTTTTGTGTATAAAAAAAGACATCTTGCATTAATAATCTTATAAATTATTTGAATAAAAATTTACAAACATGCAAGGAGATGTTCATAGAATATCATGTTATTTTAAGAACAGTTTATAACATTCCAACATGCAAATGTTTTTAAATATCAATTTTCTGTTTTAAGAAAGAAATAAACGTGTGCATGCATCAATGTGTAGTCAGAATAGCATGATATAGTTAATGTTATATAACTTGCTTGAATAGTCAAATCTTATATGTTAAATGAAGTTATTTGAAGCAATAGAATTTTTAAACGCGTGATTGTATAAATAATTTGTCTAGAGTAAAAGGTAAATAATCTTATTATTAAGAAAAAAAAACACTCGTTTAGAAAATAATATCTTGGAAGCTGCTGGACCTGTCTGTTTTAAGGCTCTTGTAAATGTATTGTTTTTCGTTTTAGTCTATATCTTGGAAGCTGTATCATTGAAGTATTCCCAAATTCACTTTTGTCTTCGAATTATATCTATAAAGAATAAAAGCATGTTGTATTAAAACTTAACGGTGATTATTGGTTTACTACTAGATAACATCCCATTGGATGCCTCATATAAACCTGCTTTAAACTATTTTTGTAATAATATGGCTTACACTTAATTGAAATTTTAGCATGGCAAACAGGTACAATTCAACCATTATTAAAGTTATTCAAATTTTTCTTTCAAAACGATAGAATGACACAAAAACCATAAAACTACATAACGAGCTCTTTACTGCAGTATGATTTTAATAAAAGGGATTCAAAGTATGTATTTCTGTTGACATGTCACACGGTAATATGTTTAATTTACCCTTTAAATGAAAGCTTTTCAAATTATTGTCCCGTACTTTTCATTATGCGGAAGAAATACTTCAAACTCGATCCTTTTCAGGCTGCAAATTGTCACAAATTTAGATAACTTTCAAATTGGTTTGCCTGAAGTTTGTCTGATGTGAAAAAATCAATACGATTTTATTGCGTTTTTCTATGTGATTGCGCCAAACCTATTTGTCAAATCTAGGATTAAAATAATCATGTTTCCTAATTTCACAGAAAAGGTAGTTAAGCTTAAATCCAAGCAGTCAACCACTAAAACTATTTGACTAAAATGTAGAAACTTTGAATCAAACAAAGAGAAAAAACACATGAACTTTGCAAATGTTGATACTAACTTAATGAATACTTCATTTGTAAATAATCTAAGCGCACGGTTTATTTTAACAGTATCTTAAAGTGGAAAGAAAAGATAAAAACTTTTCAAATTTTCATTTAGTAATATTTTTCATGAAACCTACAAAATCAAATGATGAGTTTTAAAACTATCATATCAGTTGAAATTAAAGCTTAAATTATGCAACTAACTATACGAAAAATGCATTAAAAAGATGTTTTAAATGTTTTGGCATATCTCATTGTTAGGTTGCTGTATAGTTGGTGTATATACCTAATTTCTCTCTTTCTATAAAATATGTTATTACGTTTTGTTTGTCTATAAAAAGTGATACACAACATATAATACTTTTTTTAACTGACATAACTATTTGGCCTTTTAACTTTTTTGATTCGATCGTTACTATTGAGTCTTTTGTAGACGAACGCCCGTCTGGCATACAAAACTTTAATCCTGGTATCTATGGCGAGTTTATTTATAACAAAGACATACGGAGCTTTTCTACTGGTGAAAACTGCAGAAATAAACGTTCGATGCCGATGTCAGAGCGCACAGCTAGTCTTTCAAAAATAACCTTCATCAGATAGACACGAGACTTAAGTTTGGTCAAGCCAAATAAATAAAACATTCAAGAGCAAACATGTGTAATTAAACAATAATATTTTGATTATATGAAAATACCGAACGCATTCATGGATATAGTTTATAAAAAGCAGCAGTCGTGTCACATGATGGTTAGAGTTATCTGTGTACATCTTATACGGAGATATATTGTGTTAGAATATCGACCAGAAAAATGTTTTGTTGTCCACAGTCTATTATATTGTGGCCTACGGACATTTTTTGTTTTTATAAAGTGTCTTCTTCATATATCTGATACGTTGCGGATTAAATTGTTTCACGTTGTCGAATATGTAGGCATCAAGGTTGAGTAAAACAACAACCGTCATAATATTATGTAATGTAATAATAAAGAATATTTGGTTTAAAATTGTAGTGTAGAATACTTGAAAATGATTTATTAGACATGGGGAATTACTTGTAAATTAGATTTTATAAAATTATTCGACTGTTTTGCATCATCAAACATAAAAAATCGTTAAACAACTACAATACAATACAACGAAGGAAAATGAATTGTTTTGATTGTTGGTTTGCTGACGTGAATGAGGTTTTATGATTTAAAGACCATTTGTTGCTAAATTCAATTTACACAAAAATCCAATTGGCTGAAATACATTTTTATATAAATAAAATATCTTGATTATAAATAATGATTATCATTAAATAGGTATATTTACATTTATCACAAGTAGTTTCACAAAGCAGTTACCTTGTCCTTTTCCAATAATTCTTTTGTTTGTGAACCGTTTTCCACGGTTCTCATCGTATATTCAGGTTTAGCATAGGAATTGTTAGGACTACGATAGGCGTAACCATTTCTATGTTCTACGGAGACACAAGACTTTGGGAATAAAATTCGTCTAAAGGCGTCTCGGAATTCCTGATTAAAGATACTGTAAATAATAGGATTTAAGCACGAATTTACGTATCCAAGCCATGTTAATATTTTGAATAGAATTAAAGGAACACATTTACAAAATGCAGCTATGAGGTTGATAATGAAAAAAGGCAACCAACAGAATAAAAATACGCCTACAATTATTCCCAAAGTCACTGCTGCTTTGTGATCTTGGCTAGAACTATTTTTGCCACCACCAAACTGTGGTGTTTGCGTTTTCTTTATACTTTTAATATGTCGACGTGCGTAGCAATATAACTGTATATAAATAGCTAACATTACAATACAAGGAATATAAAAGCTGATTGTGGACGAAACAACTGAATACACTGGATTTAACTCCATGGCACACACATTTTCCTCCAATGGTTTCCCTCTATCCTCTGCGTTCTTATGCCACTCTAAATGTATCGGGATGAACGAGATCGCACAAGACATAATCCAAACCGCACTTATCATGGCGGCAATCTTTTTCCAGTTCATCCAATTCTCATATCGGAATGGATCCCTAATGTGTATGTATCTATCGAGACTTATGACACAGAGATTTAATATGGATGCTGTGGAACACATGATATCGCCAGATATCCAAATATCACAAAATGTGGCTCCGAATATCCACTTATCAAGAATGTCATTGATAACAGCAAAAGTCATCACCAGGATAGCTACTAGTAAATCTGCTATAGCTAACGATACCAGTAATAAATTATTTAGATGCTTTAAACGTCTGTCCGTAAAAACAGCAACACAGACTAAAATGTTTCCGACTATCGCTAAGATAATGAACAGAGATAATATGGTCCCAATAATAATTTTTTCAGCCAGTTGATAGCCGCTTCCAGTTTCCTCTTCGTTAGTATTGTTCGAGCCATTTGTACCGTTTAAAGTATCAAAAATTGTATAATTCGGACTATCCGAAGATAGGTCCAATATAGAAAAATTTGTTATCATAGTCCCGAATCATTTGTAAGTCCTGAAGAGAATAACCCATATCTAACTGACATAATCTTTGCTAGTTAGAAGTCCAACAAATATCCAGATCGATTTGGAACACACTGACACTCTTTACCACTTTATTCCATGTAAACAACGCTTTAATTTTATGTACACACTTTATAAATACCGACGGTTTGTTTTCTTTTCCACTTTAAAATTCAATATTTGCTTCGATAATTGCATTTTTTCGCATGAACTCTCTGTATTGAATATTCCCTCAGAAATATTGTGATTATTAATTGTCAATTTTACTTATATGACATATTTCCATATCAAAACACTGCTCGTCATTTAAAAGAAATTAAATCCATTTAATAAATAAAAATCTCAATACATACTTTTAATCACAATTGGATTGATTTAATATTGTCCTTTGTGGCAAATGAACATATTTAAAACTATCTAAAATCTTTTCCGATAGTAATACAATTCTTTTAAATAACTCTCCGATCACTGGATCTTGTTCTATTTTTTCTCCAAATAAATCATCCGAATTAATTTCTTAGATCCTCACTTGATTATAAACTGACCGCCCAGTTTGTAGTTAACGATAACTATTTAATAATATTTCTTTCTTAAGCTTTCTGTTGCTCTCTCTGTAGCCACGTTTATTATCAATGCGCATGTCCTATCAACAGAAGAAATTAAATGTGAAAATATACATGTCCTTCGATTTTAAATTGTATAAAGGCATAAGATGTAAGAAAACAATCTTACAAGTTTCTCATTGATTTTAGAAATAATTCACAAAGTTAAAAATGATTGGATTACAAATATTTATGTATCAGTGAGTTGTAACGATTTTTATGCCAAGAAAATTATGCAGCCTCCTTGTAATACACGTGGTATCTCTCAACGATTGATAGAAGTATTTAACGTGAAAATCATAAACCACATACTTCTGTGGACGTAATTAATTATCTCTACAATATCAACACCAATGTGTATATATCTCCATGTGTCATATTTTTTCAATTTTTTTCGATTATGATTATGATTTACGTTTATCTTTTATCTTTCGTTTTTGTTAAAAAAGCGAAAAATGCTTCTACGTTTATCTATCCTGTGAAGTTTTCACTTTATCATATTTTACCATCGACATAATATGCAGAGATTTCTTTCAGGTATAAAGTAATTATGACTCCAATGAAATATTATATGTCGTTTAGAATTGCATTTATAATTTTAACAACGATGGTTATATGGTGAAAAAAACCTTGCCGCTCTTCACCTGAGCATTAAAATAGTCCTATCGAAGTAGTGTCACGGGTGGTTAAAACTTTTGTTCAAACATAAACGCCTATTCCATTAAGCATTTTCTATTAATAATTCTATTTACACTTTTAATTTGAAGTAGAGAAACGTGAAATCATTTAAAATCCATGACATACCCCGTTCTTAACCTATCCCCTGGACGATGATAAATCACCTTCTGGAAATCAACGTTAAATTGATTATTAAATTATGATTTTTTAAAAGAGTAAATCTAAAAGAAAAAGGGTGCATTCAAGCATAGAATAAATTCAAACACATCCTAGTTTTTCTTTTTACATAGGACAGTCTTAGACAGATATAAAGATATCTTTCGACGACTGAAGGTTAATCAAAAACGTACAATGTAAGAGTTAAATGTAAAAACAAATATTTTAGGTGTGTAATATTTATGCATTTATGTATTTCTTCGCTTCTAGAAAATCGGAAGCTCATTTTCCATTTTTATTGAAATCAAAGACTGGGATACAATATACACATAATTCATTTTATACTTGATATTCAGTTCACAGTTTAAGTATCGTACGTAAAGCAAATACAGCATAAACTCATACGAAGCTAAACAGCTTTCATACATGTGATCATGTATGATTAAGTTGACAATTGAACAAGTCCCATCAGCACATATATGTATGCTTCGTGTATATCACGAAGTTTTACTTTCTTATTTAATTCGGGATTGTTAAATGAATATGTAAATTTGAAATTGGTAAAACAGGTATCGACCATCGTATTTTGCAAGTTACAAGAAAACAAACATAAAACAAAGGGTATATTTATGTGTATTAGCGATTGTGATGTTGAGAAGGTTTTAATTAATTAAATTATTGAAAACTATCATTCTGCATTGACAATAATATCTTGGTGTAAATTAGATACACCCATTTGGGCTAACTCCTTCAAGGTGTATCTAATACTTACATAGAAGTGTTATAATTTTTTCAGCAAAAAGTTAAGATTTTGGCAATTAAACCATTAAAAGACAAGATTGTACAGAGATTCATATTGCCAAACAAAAGCAGTGAAAAGGTATCAATTTGATGACAGAAAAATAGACACAATTAAGATTTCATTCCAAATCCATAACTACAAAACATCCTCTAAAAGTGTTACTGCATCTAAAGCATTTGAGATAATGACACTTTTCCTGTTTTATCGAAACTAATTGCACTTTTTTAGAACAAGAGAAAAGATAAAACATTTATGTATTACTTTTATGTAAATCAGATATGATAGACTTACATCTGATACTTGTTGTTTTTTTGTTTTTTTTGGTTTTTTTTGGGTGTTTTTAAAGGATTTTTCTTACCCTTTTTGACTAAACATCAAACGCTTTTATACTTACAATTTTGCCTTTAAATTACATCTCAAAACTCAATATTATGTTTGTGTTACAATATCCCCCTATAAGAGAAAAGGGACATGTGACAGATTTTCATGAGACGTTTCCAAGATACACTGGAAATTAATTATACCGGTACATATACTGATGTTCTTAATCTCAAAAGTGACTGAGCGATTTCTTCACTTAAAGAACAAGACGAAAACGCTGTGGTTTAAATATATCACTCAGACGGAAATTTAAAGAATAGGAATGATAGTTGAATTTTCAAATAACCTCATTATTTCTAAAACATAACTTAAATTGAATTTAGCATAAGAAATTACTGACCTTTATTCGTTCTAACTTCCAAAAACATGACAACTACCAATAATCACGAGTGTCAGACTAAAATTGATGGTACGTTGAGAATACAATAACTAGTTCATTATCAACCGCCGCTGCAATATAATACAATAAATTTAATAACAAATCATTAGCAGTAAATGGCTACTAGTGACTTATCGCATGAATGTCATTTATAAAACATTTATATGAAATGTTTCCAGTGTTTAAAGCTTTTAAATCATTTTCCTCAAAATCTGTTACAAGTACATGTACATGCTCTAAGTACATGAACATGCAGTTCATGGGTCGATATTAATATATGGCGAATGTAAATGACTACAGCACAATGTCGATATACAACAAAAAAAACGGTGCCTTTGATTTTCATATTTTTTAGACAAGAAATCTATTGTTAAAATATTTTTATTTGATTAAAGATACTAGCAATACTCGTTCGCACAAAGAGAGAACAGCGAATAGATTAATAGTGCTTCAACATTAATCTTTATCATATCGGTCTGAAACATTCTAACTTATTTCTTTTTCCATCATTTTAGAATATCTAAATTATGTGTCATCTTTTCTACAGCACACAGGTTTTCGGTGAGGTTCATGCTGCACATTGTTGGCCGGGTTGCAAGAGGCACTTAACTGGCTTATAGTGTAGTTTGTTTTCAACTGTTGTTTGTCTATAAGTTTTTTTCTCTTGGCCATGATGTTGTTTGTTTTTCTTCGATTTATCAGTTCCCTACTTATCTTCTCTTATTCCAATTCAAAGTTCTTTGCTGTCATGTATTAAGGTGTCAGGCTTATGATTTTGAGGTCAACAACTTTAAGTAACTATAGAAACCAGGAAGTATTTTTTCTATCTAAAGTAACTACCTGACAAAGTTTCTTATAGGTTCAGAAGAAAAGGAACCAGAGAAGTGCACTTTGGCATTTTAAAAAAATCACTTCCGCTGTTAAACTTTTCTACAATGTAACACTGTTGCATATAATTGGATTTATAAAACATGCTATCAGTCTATTACAAATGTCACTGCTTACCCTTCCGGAGCACCTGAGATCACCCCCAGTTTTTGGTGGGGTTCGTGTTGCTTAGTCTTTAGTTTTCTATGTTGTGTCATCTGTACTATTATTTGTCTGATTGTCTTTTTATTTTTGGTCATGACGTTGTCAGTTTGTTTTCGATCTATGAGTTTGACTGTCCCTCTGGTATCTTTCGTCCCTCTTCCATACCTATGTTGTTTTCGGAATTTGACAGTTACCCATTTCTTTGATATAAGTGATGATATGAAGATTTGAAAACTAAATTTATCCATTTTAAAATGTTGGTATGTTTGATTTTACTGCAATTGAAATGTTTATTGAGATTGATTTGGGTAAGAAATGTCTCTTTTAAGTCTAATAACTGTTCAGTGGAGAGACTGTCTACTTGTTACTTTGAACTGACTCTTTACGTTTTAGTTTTGATTTTAGAATAAAATTGACAACTGCATTTTTATGTTTAAACAATCACACTTGTCTATTATGCTTGTTCTATATTCAGCTTGATACAGGCAGTTGCATTCTCCTATCAATTTGGTCATGTGATTGGGTTGAACAAGAGACACTTACAAAGATGTTATTGTATAATGCATAATTGCTGGATATGATCTATCAACGTATTTCAACAGGAGTAACACGGCAGTTGTCACTAATGGACAAGGAACTTTTGGCCATTCCGGAGTATATGATTTCACCCCCGGTTTCTTTGGTGCTTTGATGTAGCGTTACTCAAAATTTATTTTTATGTGTAGTGTTTTGTAGACTACGATTGTTCATCTTTTCGTCGTTTTTCTTCGTGGTGTTATCTGTTTTATTAAAAGTAAGTTTAAAGACTGGTCCCGTTTGTATATTTCCATTCGTATTTTTACATACGGTGTTTTATGCGAAACCTTTTGGTTTACATCATAGTGTACTTTGTAGTACAGGACCAAAATCAACACGCAAATACAAAATTATGTAATTGTCATATGCATGATAAAATCAATTTTCTTTTTGAAAGGTATATAGTAATGGAGGTTTAACACTGCAATGAATGGTAATCAATTGCGTTATGTTATTTTTAATTATTTTATTGGCATGTTAAGTGGCTTTATTGACAACATTCACAGTTTTCTAAGACAGTATTCAATCTTCCATATATTCAATATTCTGCCATCAACAAAATCGCCATTTGTTGTAGAATGACGATCTTAAGAATTAAGCTTTAGAATAATACCTTTAGCACATATTAATACAGACGGTGGTATCGTATTAATAGTTTTGTTTTTACCTTAATATTTCAATAGTGAAGTAAATATACAATATTGTACTTACGTTCTATCAATATCCTGAATAATTTGGAAATTAATTTTAATGTGATAATTGTTTTTAAGTGGAGTACATAACAATCCACTTATATCAAATATTACTATTTATAGCGAGATTTGAAGTTCAAAAGCTACATCTTTTCAATTGGTGCAAGAGCATTTAATTGGGAGACTTGAACAATAATGGTTACATCCAGTTTTATATTATCTTATTCTAAAATAAAGGAAAGCAATCCATTTATACTATAAGGTACATTTCAGTATCTCATCTTTAAAAAGACCAAATTAAGATGTCCCAGTTTCCTATATAGCCAGTTTGAACGATTTATGACTAAATTTGTTAAATTTCCTTGTGAAATGGATTTCCACTTTAATTTCTTTTTTTCAGTTTCGTCATTTTACGAAACATCCGTTCTTTTTTATACGATCAATTGCAGATATCATTTTTAGAATAGTATTTTTTTTTGTAATTGATAGTTCCTTTTCCTTCCTCATTCAAGATAATGAAAGAATACATATACGATGGACCCGTTATAAAAATAGTAAATAACAAAATCTCTACTCCCACGATATATAGAAATCAATATTCATCCACGTTAACCACTTTTAGGAATCTTTTTTGTTTTCGCAAATCATTATAATCGGAACAGTAACCGATTGCCTTTCGTAGTTGCAACCATACCACATCTCATTATGTTTATAGTGGTTTTAGCGTAGTCCTGGCTTGGTGTAAATACTTTGCAAATAGAAGTTGTTGGTTGACATCGTCTGCATGACGCTGTAACCTGTTTTGTCATGTAACTTGCTTAACAATTACTACTTGGTGTGACGTCACATGATTGTGACGAGTGATGCAAGCATAATTGCTAAAATCATCTTCATTTGGGCTCTGGTGGATAGTTTCATTTGCAATTAAATATCACACCTTAATTTATATAGCATGATCATGAGATGCTTTACCCTGTCAATGCACCTTGTCTCACTGTAGTTAAAGGTCATGAGATGCTTAACTCTGTCGACGCACCTCGTCTCACTGTAGTTAGAGGTTATTAGATGCTTTACCTTGTCGATGCACCTCGTCTCACTGTAGTAACAGATCATGAGATGCTTTACCCTGTCGACGCACCTCGTCTCACTGTATTTAGAGGTAATGAGATGCTTAACCCTGTCGACGCACCTCGTCTCACAGTAGTGAGAGGTCATGAGATGCTTTACCCTGTCGATGCACCTCGTCTCACTGTAGTTAGAGATCATGAGATGCTTTACCTTGTCGATGCACCTCGTCTCACTGTAGTTAGAGGTCATGAGATGCTTTACCTTCTCGATGCACCTCGTCTCACTGTAGTTAGGGGTCATGAGATGATTTACGTTTACCCTGTCGATGCACCTCATCTCACTGTAGTTAGAGGTCATGAAATGCTTTACCCTGTCGACGTACCTCTTCTACTGTAGTTAGAGGTCATGAGATGCTTTACCATGTAGACGCATCTCGTCTAACTGTTACAGTAGTTACAGGTCATGAGATGCTTTACCCTGTCGACGCACCGCGTCTCACTGCATTTAGAGATCATTAGATGATTTACCCTGTCGATGCACCTCGTCTCACTGTATTTAGAGATCATGAGATGCTATAACCTGTCGAAAAACCACGTTATATTGTAGTTAGAGGTTATGAGATGCTTTACCCTGTCGACGCACCGCGTCTCACTGTATTTAGAGATCATGAGATTATTTACCATGTCGAAGCACCTCGTCTCACTGTATTAAGAGATCATGAGATGCTATAACCTGTCGAACACCTCGTCATACTGTATTTAGAGGTCATGAGATGCTTTACCCTGTCGACGCATCTCGTCTCACTGTAGTTAGAGGTCATGATATGCTTTAACCTGTCGACGTACCTCGTCTCACTGTAGTTAGAGGTCATGAGATGCTTTACCTTGTCGATGCACCTCGTCTCACTGTAGTTAGAGGTCACGAGATGCTTTACCCCGTCGACGCACCTCGTCTCACTGTATTTAGAGGTCATGAGATGCTTTACCCTGTCGACGCGCCTCGTCTCGCAGTATTTATAGGTTATGAGATGCTTTACCCTGTTGATGCACCTCGTCTCACTGTATTTCGAGTTCATGAGATTTCTACTTGTTTGTTTTTTTGAACAATATATTATATTAAACCAGATATTTTCCTCTTGTTTTGATCGACATTAACTATAGTCTGAAACTTAAAATAATACTTCAATCATCATTTCAATTGGTGTTCCACCACATGACATGCTTAACATGGTGTTTTTACCTTAGAAATGATAATATTAAAAAATATGCGTACCCAAATTTTTGAAACTAATATTTTGCTTTTATATATATAGAACGGTCCAATTAATCTTGTTGTACATGAAAAAAAAATGTATATTTATTATCCTCTGTCTATGCATGGTCTAAGCGAAAACATGTGTCATCAGGATTAAAAAAATATATAATTAGTTTTCTTTCTCCTATCATTTAACAGCATTACACAGCGTCTTCCTGTCAAATACAACCTAAGCAAAAATCATTGAAAGTGTTGAAACAATGGTCCTTATTACCTGGTGCAACCGTTGAGAAAACCTACTTGAGGTAATTGACATTACACATGTAATTGTAACGGATTTAAATTGAAGTTCACTACTACTATTTGTGGAGAGAAAATAAAAACATTAGTGCGTTTAAATTCAAATTCCTATTGTTTAATTGTTTAACTTTTAAGTAAGTAAGAATGATAGTATTATATACTACCTTGTGTTTTAGTGTATAATTACAAAAAATGTAAATGTTACTAATATTTTTATGTAATGAATAACTCAGATACATAATTATGTCTGTAAAGTACTCTATGTTATAATAATTCGTCTACAATCACTTCATGTTCATAATTTGCAGTCTCGTTACGTGTAATTACAACGCCCCCTGCATAACTTAGCATCTTTTTGACACCGCCATACCTAATAATTATATTAGTATATTATGAATTACGTATTTTTTTTATATTTGCAAATCTGACCTTAGGTAACTTTCTAATTGGGTTCTTTTCTTAAATCTGTTATGATTTTTCGGATCTCAATACAATTAATCACTTATACACGCTATATTCTAATGGTTGACCAAAAACTAATACATCTCATTAACCACATTTTTTGTAGTTTCAATGAAAATCAGTATTTTAAAAGTAAAACAAGCTTGTCAAATTGTACTTCCTTGATTCTGTATGTATCGATTACATTTAAATATTTTTACTTCTTTAAGCATTCGCATATCAGACGTCCTATAAAGTTAAAAACAAACTGCACTGTTTTAAAACAATAATTAAAACACTCCATTGTCAATATACTTTCTCAATTCTTCCTATTTTACCAGTGTGGCATTAACAGTGATATGTTTATTCCTTAAATCTTAATTCCATTACAATATCCTGTAATTATTCACGTGAAACACTTAATAACATCGATTCGCAATGCATTGTACACAGATAGAATCTTGCAATTGTACACTGAAACAAGCTTGAAGGAAAACACAAAGAGAAAAAATCATGAAGATACTCACATTATGGTATTTATGTCCATGAGTGAAAGCAAAGTTGATTCAATTGTCGTTTAAAATCAATCTATTTATAGAACAATTATAGCATTTTCTTTTATTCAATTATACAAAGTTTCACAATGAAAAGTGGTTTAAATTTGATTTTATCAAAACAATTCATCCATAAATTAAATTTGAATATTTCTTGATAATTTGACAAATGTATTAAATGTATATTTGCATTATGAATGCCTCGTCGATGAAGCCTTATATACTATTAGCATTTTGTTTGCTTTAAACATACTGTAGACTGGCATGTGAGTGGTTACCGAGTTATCAGACTGTATGTTCACTATCTGCAGGGTAAACAAGTTATCATATATGTTTAAAATGTCTTTTCGGTTAAATACTTTATATCGCTTTTCTATAGCGGTTAGTAACACTAAATTTATTACATTTACTTGTGAGATGGATTCCCACTTTACATCACTTTTTTCACGCGTCGTTTTACGACGCATCCGTTCTATTTTATTTTACGATCAGATATCATTTTTAGAATAGTGATTAATTTTTTGTTTGTTTGTTTGTTGTTTTTTTTTTTTTTTTTTTTGTTGTTTTTTTTTTTTTTGTTGTTTTTTTTTTTAATCATTATAATTGTTTGTTGCTAGCTTGCTTTTAGCTCAGATAAAAAATGCTAATTTTTTGTTACAACACTTCATTTCTGTATAAAGATAATTGCATGTATTAATGGCATAGTTGACACACCGATTAAAGTTCTAATGCTAGACAGTAATAATTTGCTGTCCCAACCCCTGCAGGAATAGTGTAAGTTGTTGATACCATATCTTTGTTACTAAAGTAGTCTTTAATGTATTCACAATTAGTTTACATTCCGACCGCCTCGGTGGTCTCGTGGTAGCGTGTTCGCCTAGAGTGCGGGGGGTCGTGGGTTCAAACCCCGGCCGGGTCAAACCAATGACTTTAAAGTTGGTAATTGCTGCTTTTCCGCTTAGTACGCGGCATTAAGAGTAAAGACTGGTTAGCTCGCAGTCAGAATAATGTGTCCGGGTAATGTGACATGTCTTCCTGTGACTGTTACCTTTGAACTAGCACGTTAAAAATCCGGATCAGCGTGTCTGTCTAGTACAAAGCAGGGCTAAATTTCATGTTACATTAACATGTTCTCGTCCTGAATATGCATATTAATTTGCAGCCATCCATCATCATCATCATCTACATTCCGAGCCATTTAGATTTACAAATGACTTTTGGACACTCATCTTTCACTGATAAATGTATTCTGAAACCTTTAAATGACTTTTTTGTTGTATTGTATAGTTTGGTTGCGATCCAAAAGACATTTGCCCAACGTCTTTCTTTTCGTTTTCTAAAACAAATAAGTGAATAGTCTAGAGATGATTTATAAAAATAAGGCTTTTTATTTACTTATTCAAATGAACAAATACTACAGAATAAGAGGTAAAATAAAACAGCAATTTGATATGTATTTTTGGGCATGCATTATATCTCAACAGTCATTTCAGGTAGTTATTAAAGTACAAGTTTGCTCTTCATACACTGAAAACATTTCATTATTCTCAAATGACAACCAAGAGGCGCTGAGATCTACTACACTGCTAATATAACAAGGATTTCTATTGTTTACAAACCTTTCAGGCATGATTGTTTTTGTGGAACTGGTTTCAGCATTGATTTATGAGAAATGTATCTTTGGAATGCTGTGTTTCCTATAGAAATGACATGTTCTATGTTTTTTCTTCTGCAGTGTGAATTGTATAACACGTTTGTTTATTTTGCCTATCAGAAAAGCTTATATCAATATATGTCTTACTTTTTCGTTTCTTAAAGTACTTTTTTAAGTTCATTGTACTATTGTAAATAAAGCCAGGTTTTAGCGGTCAACAAGAACGACCTCGCATAACCTAGTAGTAAATACTTGTAGTATCATACTTATAGTAAATTTAAGTGTTCTTAATCTGTTGATACACAGTACCATTTCATGTTCATTTTGCCAACGCTTTATCTCTGAACTTTTTTGTTTGTTTTTTATTGGAAAGGAAAAGGGAAACGTTAATTCTCAAAATCTTTTGATTTGTTAGTGTAAACTTTTTTCCTTCTTTTAAGAAATCCGTCTGCTATATGATGTGAAATAATTTGTAAGAAATTAAATAATATTCATGACAAACTTATCGTTTGTATAGTCATGGTTTGGGAACATGGACATCTTTATTCACTGCTACTCTCGAACGAGCCCCAAAGTTGAAAAGGTATGTAACTGTATTTTGATATGAAACAAGCTATCAGGTTCCATGATATAGCGAATCTTAGGTGTGTTTGATGGAATTTTATCCATGTCAATGGTCCATATGCTATATATAATTTTTACCAGGAAGTTAAAAAAAAAAAATTTACTCCAAAAAAAATGATCTCTAAAATCCACATTAGGACCTTTCAAGGAATCCTTCAGAAATTATAAAGGGCTACAAAAGGATTGATAGTCAACTTTAGAAAAATAAAAAGACGAAGTTCTTTTTGGGAGAATACTGGAACCCTGTTCCGACCTGTTGACAGCAGACTCGATTTTTCGTCACTTTATTTGTTTATTAAAAAATATGTACTTTTTGTTATTTAGCTGACTTATTAAGATTTTGAAGTATATATCTTTTTTTTAATTTTTTTTTCTCATCACCAAATACATTGGTACAGAGAAGACATCTAATATAATACATTAAATACATAAACATAAATATACAATATATACATGTACAACAACAACAAAAAACAAAAAGTACTTCTATATCAGTTCAAGTATATGGCGTCGAATGATTAAATCTGTGTTATTCTTAAGTGAAATATGTTTTCGTCAAACAGTTATAACGTTTGATCTATGACTATATAATCATGTAATTATTGTGTCATTAAAGGTAGATCTTTAACAAAATCAAAAACAGTTGGAAAATAACAGATGACACTAAATGTTACAAGAATATTCGGTTCTTTTGAGTTCACTAAATGTTCCCCAAATAATAGGTAGTTTCTTCTCATATGGCAAGTACGTGACGTAAAGCCTACCATGGCACTTTAATTATGTTTTGTTCCATTCCAATAAAAGTAGAATTATAAATTGACTTCCCTCACCACCTACAGTGTATATTATTATTTATTAACTTATTAGTTATGAACTATGAATAGAGTGGTTAGAATTACACGGGAAAATGTGGTGTCATTCTTATAAGGTTACCATTGGTTTATGTGATTTTTAAATACTATGAAAGTGAGTGTTTGTAAATACACACAAGAGTTGTTTACGTATTTTTTTCAAACATTTGTTATAAACTAAAATCATTTAAAATTCCACGCGTATTTCATTTGAACATTGTCGGTAAAGAAATAGAAATTAATATAACTTAATATAACAATTACATAAAAAAACACATATTTTTATTTCATAACTTATTTATAACGTCGGAATAACATATTTTTCATTTTTTTCCAGTGAAATGAAATTGATGTTTTTAAAATTGGAATAAACAGTCAAGTTTTTTGAGTGAAATTTCCAAAACACATGACAGTCATTTTTGTTTATATCCTTAAAACTTATTAAACAATACAAATCACAACAAAAAATGGGTCCGTGAAGGAAGGCGGCAAACTAGGACTACTCTGGAAAAAGTGGATGTTTTACAACCGAAGAAAGTTTGCCTTGCAAGATGTCATAAATGGGCCCTCTTGAGATTGTTTTCAAGATTTAAGCACTCTAAGTTCCAACACGTCTACATTCCGCCCAGGCTTGGATGTGGTTTACACACACCAAACAGACAAACAGACACCCTGTCAGCATGGATCCCACTTCCGGATGAAGTTCGCTTACAATAATTTATATCATAGTATATATTACTCGAATAATCCATTCGATATTTTCCGCTGCTTAATGATGGCTACTCCTCGCGATTAGAAGATATCAATTACGGGGGGGGGGGGGGGGGGAGGGTTAAGTAACGTCAGTAAGAAGTAAGAGGACATTCCATGATATACTGGGTAGATGTTTGATATAAACTTATACGCCTTTGTCATAACACACCATTATGTGTTAATCAAATAAAGTCCTGGTATATATGATGAGTTTATTTATAGGTACAGAAAGAACTAGTCAAAGATACCAGGCGTTTCGTCTACACAGGACTCGTCACTGGCGATGAAATCAACAAAGGTGGCGGCCAAATCATTAACGAAGTTGAAGAGCATTGAAAACCAAAAGCTCACATGTCCAGCTCTAACTGCCGTGTCCTGAAGCTTCTATTGTGACACATCTAGCTGCGACCATCTATGCCTGAGATAGAGACACATTGGTTTCGAATGATTTTATAGTTAGTTTTATGAATAGTAAATTAACAGAAAATCACCGTATAAATGATATTTCATGTCAGTACATGAGCACAGGAGGTAGGTACTTGGCTTAGTTTAAACATACTTTATTTTCTTAAATATGCAAAAGGGATGAGACACAAGTTAATCAAACTTATAAAGTCTTCTCCAACGTACTTGTCTTCAAGTTCACCGTCAGTGATATCGACCAGAAAAATATATACATGTCTTTGTATTGGATAAATGATTTTAACAACTCATCAAATATACCAGGCTTACAAATGCGCAATTCGTCTACACATGACTTATCAGTCGGGCTAAATCTAAGGCCCAAAAATAACCGCTTCAGAGAGACATATGGCTGACCTGTTAAAATGCAAATATTCTGGCATTATTCCGTGTCCTGTTTTCCAGTGACAGTCGAAATTTTCCACCATTTCTACTGGCCAAACTACTCGTCAAAACATAAGAACTGATATATAAATAACTTTTTTTCGTCATGAACATGCCGAAGTATTTGCTATTAGTCTTATAATAAAGTAAGTATATTATCTTTGAAAATGGTTAACCATTGCCATACAACTTGACATTGGTCTTTCATTTATTAGCTATCCATGAATTATAAGTATACTAAATATTTTGTTAGTATGAGGAAATATAAGTTTGGTGTCTCGGG